AAATCAAACACATTCAACAAGCTTTCTAAAGAGTACCCATTGCCTAGCAGAATAAAACTCTTCCTTTGCTACCCACCCCCAGATGGCTCTTATCCCTTGTAAGAAAGAAGGTTGCACTGTAAAAACAAAAGTAAAACTGACTCCACCCGCCAACACACACATAGTAAATGCGTGAGTGTCTTTCAGCGCACACACAAAATTTGTTTTGATAAAATTTGGGATGGCCTCTCTTCTACCCATTTCAATGCATGCATTTTTTTCAAGGTTTCATTTCTCACCTTTGAAACAACCTTCTAATGTCATACCACATTTTAAACCCAATAAAAAATAAATGAGAGAAAAGTAAAACTCTTTGAAAGTCACCTCCCTCTCCTCCTTACTGCTTGCTTTAGTCTTGGTTGCAAACCAAGCCCAGAGCATTTAAAACAAGATTTATGGACCAGGCTCTTCAGGATGAATGTTTTGCAATGCACTGGTGGTTAAAAATTAACTTTGGTGGGTGTAGAAGGGCAGGGGGAGAAAGAGTCATTTATTTTCCACCCTAGGCTTGCAGGTACAATATTAGGCTTCAATTATGCAACATTAATATTTCTGAATAGATCCATGAAATCTGAAATATGTATATATACTTATAAGAGGTGGCACTCAAAGTTAAATGGACTTATTTTTACACCTTGATTTCCCTACAGAAATCTACTTTAGCTACACAAGTATTAGCAGTGTAACTGTAACACACGATTCAGAAAAACCTGCTATTTGGCTTTAAATATATTTAAATCTTTTGGTAACAAAGGGAACTGTTTAAAGTTCAAGAACCCTCACTTTATAGAGCTGCTAGATATATTCAACAAGTTGGATGCTGAAAGTTCTTTGAAAGTTGAGAAGTTTATCAAAGCATTAAAAATAATTTACTGAGATGATTACGCTGTACCCATATCCATGCTAGATATGGAACAGAATGAGAAAAAGCCTTTGTCTTTGTCCTTTACAAATGTGGGTTGAACATATTAAACAAGAAAAACTATAAAACAGATCAATGTAAGAGGACAAGGCACTGAGGGCATGAACATATTGAATGGGTCGACTTAACCTGCACAAAAAAGAAGGGCAAGGACTTACTCGGGCACAGATGAACTAAATGGCTCTGTTTGAGGACACTGTGTATGGCTGCACATCTGCTGCACTGTGCAAAAGCACCTCGGCAGGGTGACTAGGGGAGAGGGACCGAAATCCAGGCTTCTCCACCCACCACGCCACATACAGAGGAAAGGGCATCATAAAAGGCACCTTCCTCCCTCCAACCAATGCACCACGGTGGTAGCAACTGCCCAGACAGTGTCTCCTTTAGATTTGCATAAAAGTCCCTATAGGTCCCCAGAGCCCTAGCTGAGAATACAGAGTTGGTGGGGAGAATGACAAAGATTGGATTGAAGGAGTTAGAGCTGCAGGATGAGGTCAGTACTGGCAGGGCCTTAAAGGCAAGAGTTGTTACAATAGCAGAGACACAGAGCAATATCATATGGCTGAGTATTTATCAGTTTTTATGACCTTCACAGAGAGCACCAGTGAGAGGCCTTATCCCCATTTGGTCTGGAAAAGCTGAGCACCTTGATGAAGAACTCAGTAGGTAAGGAGTAACCTGCTGCCTTGAGAAGCCAAAGTCTTTCCATTGCAGGTCTGATGGAGCCTCTCAGAGCCTGCCCCCACAGACCGCAGGCATCACCTTGCGGCTCTTAGCTCTTTGTGACCCATAGGAGCTCATTCACATATGTTTAGTTGCTATCATGCTGGAAATATCAGAGGACTTTCTGACTGGACACTGACAGCAGCCCTACTGCTCATGAAGGCCCAGATGGCAGGAGCTGCAGACAGGACATGCTGGATCCAGGGGCAGCTCCTTGCAGAGCCAGGCACACACCTGGCAGGTGGCATAGGGTAAGCCTCTCATTTTCTGTGCACCCCAGTTTCTTTGTGTGTCACACAGCAGAGCTACACAGTGCTTTCAACCTATACTGATGCTTTGGTCGGTACTTTCACTAAAAATGCAATCATACATCACTAAATGGCAAGGACTTCTGAGAAATGTGTCAGTAGGCAATCTTGTTTTGCACACCTAGGTTAGATGGTCTAAGCACCATCATATACATACCCTGTGGTCATTCAAAATCTCCTATGTCACATGATTGTATTTACTGCTTCTGTCAAATATAAAGCCTTTATTTTTGTACTTTGCAATCTATTTTGAATAAATCCTTAAAATTCATAAACCAAATGCTATTCTTTTTTTCTTCAAACTGTACCTATTTTTCAAGGTCTAATTCAAGGCATATTTTTTCCATGAACTACTATCTACTCAATTACCTTGAAAAGTCACCAGCTACATCTATCTATGAAGTTCATTTTGTATGTACAGTGTGAGCATTCCCACCCAGTATTTCATCAGATAGGATGCGCTCGTAGGTCTTATTTGAATTGATATTTTTGCTTCAAATGTCATCAGGTTTATCAAGTTCTATCTAGTAAAAACTAGAAAAGATTTCTATCTGTCTCATAAAAGACACTCACCTTCTGTCCCTCTTTAATACCATTCAAGCACTCATTTCCATTCATAGCTACAAAGTTACTACAAATGGGTGATTGATGACCATCACAGCTGATGAGCCCGCTGGTACTAGCACATGCTGGGGCAGTGATGGAGGACTCTGGGAAAATGCTGCCTACCTAGCAGGACTGACAAATGACATCTTCACCCCAGGATGCCCCACCAGTCACCTGCACTACAGCCCTGCCTGAATGCAGATGTGTTCAGGGTAAGTGCGGTTCTTTCCTATAGGTGGGTAGTGTAATGCTTTCACAATGAGGAAAACATCATTTAACTCCAAAGAGCCTACCCAATATTCAGAGTGGCTAAGACATCACACAAAAGGAGAAAAAGGCTTCAGCCAAGGTTTAAAAATTGTTTAGATTTAATTTTTTTTTTTTTAAGAAGCAGGCATGAATACTGAGATGATCTAGCAAATGTACAAGGCTTTGTCATGCTTTAGCAGAACTGAGAGAACTAATTCTCCTTTGAAATCACTACACCAATTTCTTGGTAGAGGAAGGTGATCCGTTGACGAATCAAGCAGCTTTCAGGGTACATTATGAAAATGGCTGCTAATAAATTTTTACTTTGGTGGAATTACTCTGAGGCTGATAAAAGACATTTAACCCGTTCCACCAGTGAGATTAATTAACTCTTCCACTGACTCCAGTGTACTCACTATATAGCAGCAATGCTCCAAAGTTCCATGTGGTCAATCCTCTTGTAGGTTTCTGTCAAGTCCTGTCCAGCTTTGACCTTCCCTGTGTCTCTCCCACTGGCAGGGCCTAGCTCTCTTTCCTTTCTAAAATTCTTTTCAATCACCTCTTGGCCTTTTGACTAAGATCAACTATAAAATACACTTCAACCTTGGGCAGGGGGAAGTCAAAGACCTTGGCTTAGCTCTTTGAGTAGGGCCTGTCTATTCTCACTACAAATCTTCCTCCCAGCTGGGTGATGCATGTCTGGGTGGGTAGTCAATAAGGGCTGGAGTCCCACATTCCCTGCCCCATTCCCATCTTCCCTGTTAGGTCTAGAGGCAGATTCTGAACACCAACACAGAGCTCCCACCCATTACCAAATGACCCAAGTTTCATCGTGAGATGAATCCCGTTGAGTACACCTATTGACAGTCTTCTCTGATGCAGTTTTCCTGCCATTCTGAGCAACGATGTTAAATGGCTGTAGCTTGGCCCCTTTGGCACATGCCATTGTTGCACTAAATTGAGCCCCTCTCTCACTTGTGATACTGTATCTTGGGCCTGTCTGCAGCAGAAGCCCTTCCTAATACCTGTGTCTTGAGCGTTTATCTAGTCCACCCCTGCAGGTGGGTTTTAATTCCAGGCCCTTGCCTCTCCCAGGTGCAAATAACCAGACTTGGCTCTGCACTGTCTAACAGAGAAGTACAGCTTAAGCCCAAGCAAGTCAGTGGTCACTGCCACGGCAATCTGCATGTGTTAGTATCAAAAATAGGTTTTTCATTGCATTTAGGCAAAGATTCAGACAGTAAACAACATTCCTACTACTCCTAAAACTTTACCTAACCTATAAGACCCTTATCACTATTCTGAATGATCAAGCTGTTAGACAACTTTTAATCTGTGCACAGCAAAGTGAGGTTGTTAGGAGTCCACAGCGGAAGAAAAACACATTGATTTAAATGAAATCCAATGCTCACACAGTCTACATTTCCTGCTTTGTTAAATGACCGACTGCTTTCAAAGAAGTGTCTGGTGTGCTCCTCCTTGCTGCAGTGAGCACTGCATCCACACGGCCGGCATTAGTACAGTGTTTATCCTGACACACATTTCTCAGTACTCACACTTCCAAAACACAGTCTGAAATACTCTAAATTACACAGTAACTGTAAGTCCCCTACTTATAAGCATTAGAAAGAAAAACAAAAATGTCAACAACAAAAACGAAGTCCGTAAATGTATGCAGCAACTAGAAGTCTAAAAGTTGACAGTTACAGAGTTCTCCCAACTCTGATCTAAAAGAAAGATAAACCGAAAATCCACAAAGTTGAAATCTGAGTATTTACTGAATACACTGCTACTCCGCTTTTTAAAAAATAAATTACAAAATAATGCATTACTATGGATTGTAATGTATCAGAAATTCACTTCAGAGGAAGCCTAAATCTAGTACATATGTATGTATGTATTGTACTGAAGATCAAACCTAGGCATGCTCTACACTGAGCTGCATTCCCACCCCTTTTTAGGACAGGGTCTTGCTAAGTTGCCCAGGTTAGGATTGCACGTGTGATCTTCCTGCCTCAGGCTTCCTGAAAAGTGGGCATACAGGTGTGCATCATTGTACTTGGCTACAGCCTACAAGACCCTTATCACTATCCAAGGCTCGAAAAACAAATACAGCAAACAAACAAAAGAATGATAAATGTTGTAAAGCTTACCTGGTGCTGGCTGTCGTTCATTCCATTCAGTTGAGATTAAAATTTCTATAACTTTTATGAGGTTTTCAGTACTATCAGAGCTGCAAGAGAGAGGGTTTTGTTAGAAACCTTATACCCAAAAATCAAACACATTTTTATTTATACACAATCTAGTGAAGTGTGTGATGTAAGTCTGGATATACATATTGTTAATTTGCATTATCATATGCTCATTTGAAAAATGAAACTGAGAATACATTTCAGGATTAACTTTAGCACCCCAAACACACATCTCTTATTTCACTCACCTGGCTGCTGGAAATCTGAAAAGCATAGGGCTGAAAATTTCAGCAAGCACTCTTGCACTCAAAAGATTTTTGCTGGAAGATTGAGAAAGCTTGAAGAAATGTTTTAGCAAATATTGAAGTGTAAGCCAATACTGATGAGGTATGTTAGGCGACCTAATGAGCTTCTTCAACAGCTGGATATAATCTTCGGAACTTTGTACTTCTGCAAGTTAAAAGAAAGAACAAAAGAATAAGACTATGTCTAGGTGTCAGTCAATGAATACACCCACACCATGTCTCTTCTCTCCTCTAAGTACAGAGGAAGTCACTCAGTCTTCAGGAGAGGTGCACAGGACATTTGTCCTTCTCATTAGAAAATGCATTGTGAGAAAGTAAAAATCTCAAGTCAAATGAAAATGCAAGAAACTCTTGATATGTAAAAAACTACAAGAGGTTCAGGAAATCTGCCTTCTACCAAGCAGCTTCAAATGTGATTGGCTAGTTCTGAGGAGCATCAGATAAGTATCGCAGGTCTAACTTTGAAGGTTATGAACCACAACTTCCTGTCCCCAAAGCACTGAACTGAGCCCTCCTCCCCCAACACATTTTGTTGTGGGCATTTGGGGTGGGGGGTGGGGTTGCAAGAACAACCCAGTCACTGGATCCTAGTCCTAGGTCCTCGAATCTAACACTAGTACTGGGAATAGCATGCCCTTCATAGATGTAGTGATCTTTGTCACTACTGAACAAAGGTCAACAATCAGTCAGTTCAACTTGTGGGTAAGATTCTAAGCAAGTGATAATTGGATTCTCTGATAAAGAAAGGAATTTCTGGTGGTAGTGAGGGGCTTACTACTAATACTTTCTAAATACCATGTCTTTATATGCTGCACATCATAGCCTACATGCATAGCCCCATTTTGAAATATGTTCCACGAAGTTGTCAGAAGAGAAAACAGACCTTGAGCTAAAGAAATCATTTCACTGTAAACGGCTACTGGAATGACAGGATTTGGTAAGTCCAGGAGATAGCGTTTACAAGCGTCTGCTAAAACTTGCACGTCAACCATTTCCAAGTCCACAGAGGCAGCATCTAGGGAAGAAAAATCAAAAACAGTTTGAGAAATATTTCAGATGTTTAGTTTGTATCTCACTTGGGTCAATTTTCCAAATGTCATACTTAACTGTGACACAGGAAAGGGAGCAAAATAAGGACAAATACAAGCCATGGAATATTTATTAGGAGTGTTTCCCACTGGGGTTGTTCCTAAATTTTGAGTAGAATAATTTTTTTCTCCACATAGGTCTGTGCCACACACTGTAAGCATTAGCATTCCTAGCTCCTAGTCTGTATATCCCACTATATTCCCAGACTTCGGGGCAACAAAACATAATGGCACCAGTATGGGTAAATTATGCCCCTCCCAAATTTACATATTGAAGCCTAGAGCCCCAATATCTCAGAGTGATTTTCTCTGGATATAGGGCTCTTAAGTATTGATTAGGTTAAAATGAGGCCAAGTGGATCCTACTCCAATCTGACTGGTATCTTTATGAGAAGAGGAGATGAAGACACATAGACACCAGACAGGTCTGCACAGAGAAGGGACCATGTGAGGACACAGGAAGAAGTCACCATCTGAAAGTCAAGGACAGCCCTTGGAAGGAAGCAAAGAGGCCATGTCTTGGACACCTAGCCCTTTGAACTGTGAGAAACCCCTTTCTATTTTGTAAGCCACCCGGTCTGTGTAATCCCACCACATTCCCAAAACCCCCTGGCGTGGGGTCCTAATCTGACTGAGATAGGTCCTGTGTATGGCAAATGCTTCCTAAAACCATGACAAGATGATAAATGTAATTCTCAAATGCCCTTCAAGTTGAATTGATCACATATAGTCTACATCAGAATTAATGTAAACTGAACCTAACAGAGTGACAGATTAACTGCTAAGATAATACAGAATTTTAGACTGAGAATTCAATCTGAAGAATATCCATGAAAATAATTTGAGCAGTTTCTAGATGTTGCCCTCTAATGCTGAATACGACTAGTCTAACCTGTGAGTATGAGCCTATGCCAGAAGATAAGATAAACTTATCTATTCAGTAAAGCCCTCGGCTGGAAAAGTGGTTGAACAATTCAATAGAGGTGATATTGATCAGAAACACAATACGTGCTCATAATGTATGGCACCGAGTCTAATGGGATGGAAGAGGCACCACGCCCAGGAGGAGGCTGACACAGGAATAAGCACCAGAAGCAGGAAACCAGGAGAGGCGTTTGGTGCTGTTGAAAAATGCACAGTGGCGACAGGAAGGAAAACACGACAAAAGTGACCTGGGGACCCATGGAGGCAATGGAGAAAGGGTGAGCTGATGGGCGAAACATTGCATTTTTATATGGCTTCATTAATAGCAGTGTTAAGAGTAAATTGGAAAAGGATTCTGCTGGAAGTAAAGATACTGCTTTTGGTAATCAGAAACAAAGTAATGAGATCTGAATTTTAATGCAGCTGAGAAGTGAATGCTATCAAGAAATAATGTTGCTTGGTGATCAACTGGATTGGGTATTGGCGTAAGAGAGGAGACAGCATCAAAGTTATTCCAAGGAGTAGAAGGCAGTGTCCTAGACGTCCTGAAACTAAGTGTGGTATTACTATAAATTATTTTAACTTGAGACTAAGGCTACAGAAGTTTCCTGGACACATCAATCCTCCAAACCGGTGGTACCAAATCTATGGGATGTGTGTTATTTGTTTTTCCTTTAAGACAAAAGATGTTGGGCTGGGGAATCAGCTCAGTGGTGCCATGTCTGCCTGGCAAGTGCAAGTTCCTGAGTTCTATCCCTGGTACTACCAAAAAAAAAAAAAAGAAAAAACCACAAAAGATCTTAATGTATGAGTAATTTTTTTCTAAATTAAAACCTCAGTATTCAGGTTTAATCGCAGTGTTGGCACTTTGTGATAAGTGGGTTTTGGGTTGCAGTTTGGGCACTGTCTCTAAAAGACTGCCATCACTGCTATAAACCAAACATGGTGCACTAAGTAGGCAAAGGTTATCCAATATAGTAACACAAAACCACATAGTCTTAAATCATCCTAATAATATGCAGTATGGGTAGGAAAAGGATTATTAATCTTAGAAGGTGAAGAAACAAAGTCCTAGGTCTCTTAAATATCCTATAAAAATTAACCAGAGACATATCACATGTCTAACAAGTGTGGGAAGGCCACACTAAGTCTTCAGAGAAAGGATCTATGTTGAAAACGTGTAGCTACTGGCGTAATTAAGTACTGATGAATAAAATGGTACATGTATCACTATAGGAACACTCTACACTTACTGTTTGGCAAGCTTCTGGACTCCCATATACTTTGCCCCTGTATGCTTCATTTAAGGTATCTTTGCCCAGCAAATCAGTATTACTGAAATGTGTTCATCCTGAAAAATGTGCTAAGGCATTTGGCAATGGGATCTCAACATTAATACGCTAACTACCGAGTGCGGTGGCACTGCTGATGAGCAGGCCCTCCATCACGACACTTGGCACACGAGATGGCCATTCTATCAGGCTGTGTGTCTCCTACCAGACATGGTACCTCAGAGAAGTGCTGAGGCTGTCACCTACTCTTCCTGCAACCCTCAGGGCTCAGCACACACAACATGTTAAAAGTTTGTGGACCGCACCACAGAGCCTTAAATTTCATTCATCAAAGCTCTCCTCTGAAACCAGGTGTGTGTTCTAGTGAACTTTGATGGTATCTGAATGAAACGGCCTCACACAGGTCTTTGGATAAGCTTACCATAGTCAAATTCCACTGCAGTTGAGGACACAGTATGTTTTGCAAAGTTTTATTTATTTATTGTAACAATTTCTAAAATTCCTTGGAGTTTATGACTTCTGCTCTGTGATAGTCCTTTTCTACATTAAAATTTTCCTGACAGGCTCTTCTGACAGCTATTGACAGATGTAACGGGGTGACTTCTGAGGAGCTATATAACCTCTAGATCTGAGTTAGCAGACTTGATATCCTTTTCTACCTCACTTTTCACTGCAACTACTCTTAATGGGTAACCAGTAAACCCTCTAACGTATCTCTTTTCCTGACCACTGGAAAGTCATCCCCTTCCTGCCTAATCCCTCTTTAGGTTAGTAGCTCCCCCTGGGAGTAGGGGTGGGGAGTGGGAGACATCTGGTAATATTTGGAGACATGCAGTCCTTGTTGTCACAGCTCAGGGAAGATGTTCCTGGCACCTAGTAGGGAGCACTAGGAATGTAGCAAAACATGGTACAATGTACGTGACCATCATCTACTCCTTTAACATGTCAATACAGCTGAGGCTGACAGTGACTAACTCAGGTTCAGAGGGACCAAAGAATGTCAGGAGAAAATTCATACCATTAAGACTCAAATGAGACAGGGCCTGAGTACAAAAAAAAAAAACCAAAAAACAAAAAACAAAAAACCTCAAATGAGACAAGAAAGAAATCATTCATTTTAGGTCAAAATAGTTTAAAAAAATTAAAAAAAAAAAACAAAAAAAAAAAACCAAGAAGTTTTGTATGGGGAACACTATGGAAACAAGCTTTGCCCTGCAGCCACTGAAAAATGTTAAGAGAATTTGGTTACCTGAGGGTCAGCTTTCTTTTCTGGGAAATTAGAATAACTAATACTTAAGCACAAAATTAATGTGTAGATGAAATAAACACAGAAAAAGTTAATAAAAGTGAGGGTTTTCTTGCCCCCCCCATATCTGTCCTTCGCAGACAATGGAAATTCACAGGACTGTTTAAAGGCCATGATTTTTTTTCAAGTGTAAGAAACTTACCTTGCAGCTTTTTACAGAATAGTATAATATAGATACTAACCATCTTCAAGCTGGAAAGATTTGGCTGTTCTACTCCAAGTTTGGGTAATGTTTACTTTTGGGGAGCCATAAAAATTCACTTTTATACACAGAATCCAAATGAAACAGTTTTCTACATGTGCGTCATGAGTTCAATGTAGAAGAAAAGCCTGTCAAAAAGCACTGGTGACGTGAATCTTGGTTTAGTCCATCTCACTGGTGGTGTGAAAAAAACTTTGTTTTCTTTTCAGCTAACCTGCATCACTTTATATTACATACATTAAAAACCTAACCACTAAGTTCTCAAATAACTTCCATTTCATCAGATTCTGAGGTCTTAGCATTTCCTGTGACTTGAACATGTTCAATTTGACCAATATTCTGACCAAAACATGCACATATATTTCAATCGGCTGAGGACAAAAGTTAGCATTTCCTTAACACCCTGGCAAAGCTGTTAGAATTCAGCAAAGCAAGCCTTTGCCTTGAACTTTCTAACTTCCTATCCTGCCTGGGGCAGAGGAGACACAGCTGCAAAATGAGGGGCTCACATGTCTGAGGCTGGTCCTTGTGTACCACGGGAAAATGAAGTTCAAACGAGAATTTTCTTTTAAGTTTCAAAACCTCTGAACAGTACATTTCAAGGGAAAGCATTTTCTGATAAAGATCTAGTCTTATTCTTTTCTCCAAGAAGCATCTTTTCTAAAAGTTTTCCTAAATTACTTCATTTTGATAGTTACATCAAGTTCTCATTTACTATACAATGTGGTCGTTTCCGGGCAATTATACTTCTGAAGGAGCTTCTTCGAGAACTAGGTTTTATTCTCATTGGTTCAAACATCCAAACTGAGTTAAAATGGTGTGGGGCAGAAAATGTAATAATTGGGAACAAATAAAATGTACTATGAGGGAATGAAGGGTTGGAGAGATTCTAGAAGTTGATATGAGATGATTTGTTGGAATGATGGCAAGTGAACTGATTTATGCAGTTTTGTTTTTTATTTTCTGTAGAGCAAGGAGGGGCAAAGTGAATGCTGTACGAAGCCCCCAGTTGGCTGAGATAATCTGTGTCACTTAACCAGTGGTGTGCTCGCACTGGCTTTTGGTGGCTCACAAGGAGCCCGATGTCTTCAGCTCTCAATTCCCCAACTGGTGCCATTCTTTTGGTGAGTTTGAAGTCCAACATAGTGGGTATTTTGACACCTTATAGCACTGAAATGGGAAAATACTACAAACCAGGGCTTTTCCTTTGCAGAATTAGTTTACCAGCACAACATGAAATAAATCAATATTGTGCTTATTATTTGATGTAAATATGATATGAAAAAAGCAAAGGAAGCAAGTCAACCAGATGGAAGGGAAAGGTAATGAAAGGAAGATGTCACAAGAGACTCTGTAAAATGACATAGGCTTATAAATATTTTTTAGCTGACCTAGATGAATTCCATGTGGTCAGCAGCAGGGTCAAGGGAAGATGACAGACATACAGAGCCAGAGAAATGCCAAGAGCTTCTCTCCATTGCAAGCCCTGCAGACTCTATGGGCTCTCAGCTTTGACAATGGCTGAAGAGAGCCCACAGACAAACTACACACTCTTACAGTCACTCTAAGGAGTCAAACATCAACTGTCTATAATAGTTGCATTGTTAACATGGCTAAGGGAACACTGCCTGATTTCTGGGTTCCCCTGAAACTTAGAATGTTGTATGAATTAGATAATTTTTTATGTGTTTTAGCAGAAACAGAAAGGTAAGACTGATCTTTCCCATTTGTATTCATACGTCCGTGATACTCACCACAATCAAGAAGCTGTCGTAATTCTACAGAGTTGCTGGAGCTCTGTGTTCTGTATAGAGTCGCACATTCCAGACCTAGGACACAAAACAGACTGTGTATGCAAAACACAGCTCTCTGGAGACCCTAGAAGCCTGCTGCCAGGGACACATTCCAGTTTCCATCCATTATCTATTCTAGAGGTGTACCAAATATTCTTGGAAGTCAACTCCTACTATTAATCTTATCTGGCATGTCAATAATTTTGGCAAAACCAGCTGGCTGCTAAGAAGCAAGTTAATCATATTTTTAAATGATGGAGGATTTAATAGTTTCCAAACAGTAACTACTTATTAATCTTGAGTTAGAAATCATAGGCCAGAGGCTGGGCGTGGTGGTGCATGCCAGTAATCCCAGCACTCGGGAGGCTAAGGCAGAAGGATGGCTGTGAGCTCAAGGGCAGCCTGAACTACATAGCAAGACCCTGTCTCAAAGTCTCAAAAGACCTTTCCCTTGGGGCTGGGGATTTGGCTCAGTGGTTCTGCCACCTACCTCACAAGTGCAAGGGCCAAAGTTCCATCCCTGGTACCCCCCCCCAAAAAAAACCTTTCCCTAGTACCGAAACCCAAGTATGTGGTGTGTCTAGCTCCGTATCTGCACAGACAAGATAGTAAAAATGTATCTGCCCCAGAGATACATACAAATTATTTCAGCCATAAGATAAGGGTCTAACAATAAACTGATTCCTTCTAGCAAGTGTCATTACCTTTCTTTTCAATGGCTTCCACCAGCCTGATGAGGAGAGGCGGGGCAATGTCAGGAGGTGCGAATTGCTCTGCCAGATCCGGAAGGGTCAAAGCTGCAAGCAAACAAAACACCACATTACATTTCATGTGCGATAGTCACATGCACTGGACCACAATGAAGAACATCCCAACAGAAAGCAATTTAATTACATCTGACAGAAGCAAACGCCAAGAACTGAGCAAGGAGTCCTATACTGGGCTGGCACATTCTTGGGCCATCCTGCTTCCACTCCTGTAGGACATACTCAGGATACCTACCCAGAATCCAGGTCTGCCAGTTGGACTCTTATGGCCTCTCTCCAGTCAGACCTCCCTGTCTGGGTGCACACTGTACTCCAAAGGTGGGCTAAGCGGGACTGGAGTTTGGGTATACAAAGTGAAGCCAAGTGAGCAGGGCCACCCTCCTGTTTCACCACACTCTGGGGCAGCACTGTGAGGAGCCCAAGAGATAGAACTCAAATCTGGCTTCGTGGTATTAGGAAAATATCAGTGCCTCGGTAGAACAGATTTTACTGAACAGTTTGTTAACATGATGCATAGCTAACTTACTTAGGTGTGGGGTAACTGCCCTCCTTTTGTACTCTGGTCCTACAAACACCACAGTGGCTGCCCAGTGGACATCAAATTAAGACCCTGTATAGTTGCTTGCATGCCTTTTATTTACTTATGCATATTTTGGACAGTTAGTAGATTAAGAAATTCAAGGTTTTTGTAAGTTGTGTTTCCATGCTTTATTTGTATGTTTTACCGACTGTAATGACACAAAAAGCAATCTAGGGCTGGGGATTTTGCCTAGTAGTGCTGCCGCCTGCTTTGCAAGTGCAAGGACCTGAGTTTGATCCTTGGCACCAAAAAAATAAAAAAAGAAATCTAACTGGATGGTATTTACAAACAACTTCCTTTAATGTTACAACTGACAAACCACAGTCCTGCTCCCCCTGAAAAAATTTTAAGTAAAAATATTTTTCTCAAAATGCACCAGAAGAGGGAGCTAAATATTTTAATATAGCTGCAATCTTATTTCACTAAGATTTGAATGGTATAATTCTTTATTATAAGCCATATACCATGTTAGGCAATTTCTAATTCAGTCAGTATTTCAAATACTAAGAGTCAACATAGAACAACAGATTCATGATGCAAAAGTAAAAGTTGCATTAAATTCTGACCTCAGAGAACTACATTTGATTTAATTCATTTTGCAAACCTTCAACCTTCTGGTCTGACCCTAGGGACTGCAATACACCCTGTGATGATGAGTGGACACGTGTGATTAGCCACAACTACCCAGGATAAAAGGAGAAGAGCTAAATTATGGAGGAAAATTCCATAGCACCATCTACATTTTCTTTGGTGATTCCCCCAAAAGCATCCAGCAATGACATCTCTAAGTCTCTAAATGTTACAAACTAATACGGTATCTGAAAAGCATTCAAAGTATACATGTCTTTAAATTTTCAGTCTTTAGTTAAAAGCACTGTAAGATTAAAAAAATATTATAAAATGAGAAAGCACATCCTTTTGTTTCCTCTGGTAGTGTAAATCACTTCCCTTGGCCTCAGTACATTTTTTAGCTCAAAAAAGTTATCTTTCCCAACAAATACCTTCTATACTGAATGAATTGGCTAATACCCAATCAACATATGTAAAAGAAGGGAAATTTATAGACAGAGAAATGGTAGAGTAATTTTATTCATTGGTTTGTTTTCTTCCTTTCCTTTCCCTTTCCTTTTTTCTTTCCACTGAGCTAAATCCCCAGCCCTCAGTAGCATTCACTTTAGCATCCTTCTTCTTACTCCTCTCAACCCAAGGAGTCTTAGCACACCTGGAAACTCAAAAAGCTAAAGATTAAATAGTAAGTACACAAACACACCCACAAGATACTCACTCAACGAACATGCCAATTACTCTTTCCTTTCCCTCATAAATAAGATTATTTTTTTTTAATTTAAAAAACTTCAATGCTGGCACCAAAAATGAAATTGCTTAATAAATGTTTATCTCCTTCCAGGATCTTATCAACAAGATCGCCTCTGCAGGCAAATATGAAAGTTAAATTAAATGATAATTAAAGATTTCATCTAAATGTGATTGAAATAGGCACCCAACAGTTATACTGCTAAGCTGGCAAATGCTACATACAAAAGGGTTTCCATCTCTCTTTCTTCACCTCAGCAGAACAAAATTAAAAAAGCAAAACCTTTTTACTTTTCTTTGTCCTTCTCAGTTTCTTTCGGAAAAACATTTTAGTTTACCTGCTGTTGTCCTGAGTTACAAAATATCATTTGTTTTACTCAATCTGGTGTTAGATGAAGTTTCTGAAAAGCATTGTGATGGATACCAAGTATGTATGAGGGTGCACGGAGACTTTTCTCAAAATAATCACCAGATCATGGGGAGAGGGGGAGAAAGGAAAAGGAAGAGAAAGGAAAGAAGGCAGGCAGGTAAACTAGCTACACACGTACAGTAGGAAGCAAAAGTGCTCCTTTTGTAAGGTATTGAGTTTCCCATTGAATTTTTAATATTAAAAAAACTTTACATACTGCTCAAAGGTATGAATCATTAGTTGATCAAGATTGTACAATTAGAATTTTAAAAAGTAAAATTTATTAGGTTTCAAAAAATAATCCAAAGACTTCCTATTTCCTAGGATGATGTGTGTGATTCAAATCACTTCCCTTTTGGAACTATTTCAGCACTGGGAGTTTGAAAGCCCTACTCAGAACTGCTGAAGATCTTATCACCTACTCCAGACAGCGGGATTTATTACTATCAAAACTCTAAGAAGCATTCTAAAACAAAATTAATTTTTACAACAATCCTAAAGTCAACTACTACTTTAATTCCATTAAATACACAAGGTCAACATTGTTTCATTAGTCTTCCTTTTAAGCGATCCCCTCAGGAAATGACGACTGCTGCAAATTACTCAACTTGGTAAGCCATTCTGTGACAAGTCCATGATAAAACATCACATCATACAGTCTGATAAACCAAAATATAATGGGGCCAAAAGATTTAAAAAGCATAGAACTAAAGGGTGGGACTATCAAGCAAAACACAAACTCACAGGGTACCATCCTTCTAAAGTGTGCCTGTCAATCCTCTGCAGGCTTTTTTATCCCTGAGTGAGGAATGCGTGTGGCTTTGAAGCTTGCTGTAGCACCCAAGTCTGGAGAACCAAGTCCACTCTTAAGAATGTGGGAGTTTGTAGATTCCACTACTACAGTCCAACCCCCATTTTTCACTTAGTTGAATCATTTTTCATCAAGAGAAATTAGTATTGCACAAGAAAAGAAATGAAGAAAGAAGAGCCGAAAGGTCTAAAAGCGGCGAATCCAAGATACACAGCAGTTCAAACGAATGGAGGAATTAATCCTCTTCAATACTGACAAGGGCACCATGGAACCAGGTGTCCCAGCTTCCTGTAGAAAGCATTTCTGATGACACATACAAGGCTGCATTTTCCACTCATTCATTTTCCCCACTTTGCCTTGGTGGCAGCCAAGTGCACAGAGCAAGAGAGAGCTTTCTCTCCAAATTTAAGGCCTTCCCAAACCACCAACATGGACAGGTCTCAACAGTCCTGGGCACCAGCGGCGTGTGGGAGACAGTGGCATTCTTTGCACTGAGTGGTGCCAGCACCACTGCACAGTGCAAGATGAAACCAGCACACAGCTGCACCTTTTGGAGGCGTTCTCCATTAAAAAAAAAAAAAAAGATACTTTAAAGTTAGTACCTGGCAGGGCTGAGTGGAAAGTTTAAGCTGAAATACCAGGAGTCCAGAGAACGCCAAAGCTGAGTATTTCATTACTGATGGAAACGGCTTGAAAGTGTGTGAAAAACTGCCACTCACCTCTAAAAATGAACACTAAAAATACACGGAGATGTATATGCAAATGTAGGTCAATATTAAATCAAGATGTTGATCTGTACTGCTACTAAACCCAAACTTTGTCAGAAACAATCCTTCTCATGCCTTAAAAAAAAAAAAAGTATGCCATTCTGTAAGCAAAAGTTCCAATTTTTTTCTTTAAACATCTTTTTGGGGCGGGGGCAGTGAGACAGGGTCTCATTATGTAGTTCAGGCCAGTCTTGAACTCACTATGTACCTACTAGCCCAGGCTGGTCTCAAACTCACAGCAATTCTCCTGCCTCAGCCTCCTGAGTGCTAGGACTATAGGCATGTGCCACCACGTCTGACCTTAGGGATTTTATAATTTATACCTATAATGTTTAATACCTTGAATTTAAACTTCTTAAATTCTGTAGGTTAGACCTCAATAAACACTGGCCTGTTTTCTTTGGCTAAGATGAGGATGCTAAAAGACAAAAACAAAGCAAAAAGTGAACTATAGGTTCCTTGATTTTGATACATACTTAATTAGAACAGAAATTACTAGAAGCACAAACAGAAAGCCAGAGTCCTGAGTTTTAATCCCAGTTTTATCACTACCTGAATGTATAATGGACAAGTTATTTAACCTGGACCCCAATTTTTCATTTGTAAAATGGAAATAATTATGTGAATAACATTAAGTGAATAATATAAATAAGCTTGGCAGCCATGGCACCCAGTAAGTAGAAAGCACAAATGTTATTAACAGTATAATTGCTGATGTAATATTAACATATTTTTTAAAAACTCAATCACGATGGCAAATTTTAAGATCAAAAACTATTAAGAGTTTTCTCAATACATTTTTTTTTTTTTGGGGGGTTTCTTGAGACAGGGTCTCACTATCACTATGTAGTTGAGACTGACCTGGATAATCACTATGTAGCCCAGGCTGGTCTCAAACTCACAGCAATCCTCCTGCCTCAGCCTCCCGAGTGCTGGGATTACAGGCATGTGCCACCACGCCCAGCTCTCAATACTTTTTAAAGGTGGCAAGCTAGAAGCACATTTGACAGAGTGGACATTAATATCTTGACTTTCTTTCTTTAAACAATAGTATCTTTTGAGAGGTCAAACCAAATCTTATTAATTTTAATGTATCACACTTTTTCTCAATAAGGACTACAGTATTGATCTGAGTTATTCAAATTATCA